CGTACAATGAGCCCAAACATACAGCCAATGTCATTAAGAACTCTCTTCAGCAGAAAGAAGAACGAGGAGTCCTGGAAGTGATGGTTTGGCCCCCATAGAGCCCTGATCTCAACATCACCAAGTCTGTCTGGGATTACACAAAGAGACAGAAGGATGTGAGGCAGCCTACGTCCACAGGAAATCTGTGGTTAGTTCTCCAAGATGTTTGCAACAACCTACCTGCCGAGTTCCTTCAAAAACTGTGTACAAGTGTAAGAATTGATGCTGGTTTGAAGCCAAATATTGATTTGATTTAGATTTTTCTTCTGTTCGCTCACTTTGGATTTTGTAAATTGATAAACATAAACATATATATTTTTGAAAGCATTCTTACTTTACAGGATTTTTTTCACACCTGCCTAAAACTTTTGCACAGTACCGTACATAGAGCCCATTTTACATTATGGGGGTTTCTAAGTACAGTATATGGATAAGCCACATCCCAAAGTGACTTTTTAACAGCCTAATGTGATATGTGCATTAGTACCTGGTTTAAAGTCTTTGAACACTGTAACAATATAGATATGTTATACATGTACAGATAACTGAGACTGTATTTTATAGTGGAAGACAAATAAGAAACTGGACTTAAAATAATCCTTCCTATCCTTGTACTCTGTAGATGTGGTAGACTATGACTCCCTTCATCCGAGCAAGTAGTCCAAGGCCATACTGACTGAAAGATGATGGGAACTGAAGGTAAGGAAGTCTGCCTTAATGTGTTATCAAGACATAGCTTATTATCAAGTCATAGCTTACTGTTCCCACACAAACCAGGATGGTAAACCAAGAAACCCTAGTTTTTGGACCCTGTCTTACTTGGGATTGATCTGCTAAATTATCCAATTCAGATGATACATTAAAACAAACTATTTCTGGTCTGTGGAGTTCTTGGTGGTCCCTGAACTTGGTTGTTTGCTTGCAGACATTTCATTACCTAAGTAACATCATCGGTGCTAGTGAGCAAACCCCACACTCGCTAGCATTGCTGATGTTACCTAGTTGGGTAATGAAACGTCTGCAATCAAACAACCAAGCTCAGAGAGCGCCAATGACTCCACAGTTCAACCCTGAGCTACTTATATTCTCTTCTATTTCTGGTCTGTTTAGCTACTCATATTAGTGGGAAGATTCAAGCAGGAGCAAAGAGGGTATGCGCACAATTGTGCAACCTGTTCACAGCAAGCCAGGATCTCCTGCAGATTTATCGCTCTGAGGTAACAAGGCCATAGTTTAAAATGGATAAGGAATGTTTTTAGTTATAGAAGTTAATCTGTAACATCAAAAAGGCAACAAAATGCAGCTAATTGTTTGATCTGCCACATTTGTAGTATATTACTTTACAATCTCATTACACAACATTACTGATTTTTAAAGAAGTGTGTTTTGATATAAAATCACCAGGCTAGCAGTTTAGTCAAGATATGTTTTTCTAAAAGGGAATGAAGGTTGGAGCTGTACCTGAAAGACTTACAATTATTGCACTAAGCCATAATGAGGTTTATTACTTTTGGCTTAACATGCTATATGAATAAGCCAACTGTGTTTTATGTAATAATCAATGACTAAACAAATATGGCACGGTACAATTTTGTACCCAGCCAAATTCACTCACAAGTTTTTGTAATAAAACCAATATTAGAGTATTTAGTCTTCAAATGAAAACATTCCTCACAACTCTAATATAATTCTCATAATGATGATGACTAAGAGGATTTAGGATTTACTAGAACATTGACCAGTCATATGCAGCAGGGATACAACTAAGTAGCTTCCTGAAGTAATATAAATTAGCACAGGTTCTTGAACATATGATCAGAAATAGATGTAACTTATTCTAGAAAGGCAGATATTTGGCAATAGCTTTCTGTGTACTAAGCTGTCAGTAGAAATACATTTATGCTCTTTTTATTTTATTAAGGCAAAAGGTGATGTTTGACAATCCTGTTTGCATCATAGCAACGTAAGGGTCCCACCCACAAAGGATAACAAACCTTGATTGGTTTTCAAAAAAGATGTCTTTCCCAAGAACTCAGGAACCCTTGACAAGAATTTTCCCTGGATCTGGTAACTTCTTGTGTAACAGAACACATTAAAAGCACATTAAGCAAAAGTATCTAATCAACCAACACAGAGTTTTAACTTTAACTTTTTCTTTGACCTCTACCTGAGGACAACTGGCAGCTGGAAATTCCATACGGATAGAAGGAGTTGCTTCCAGGGAGCCAGAGAATGTATACCTGAACTTGAGGGACCTGGAAAGAAAGTTGGTGGTCTAGATAGAGATATCCAATTTGAGCTAACAAACTGATGGCTTCTCATGATTAGGTTGGACTTTTTTTTTTTTTTTGGTGAGCCTGCAGAGCTACCAGGAATAAGAGTTGTCTTAAACAGT